ATTATCCTCATACAGTTTGTAATAACAAGAGTAGAGAAAGAGAGGAAAGAAAACCACAACTTGCTATCCCAGGTTCTATACTAAGTAGTTCGTATACATATATCCATAATTCTCAAAACAATCCCATAAGGTAGGGTCTACCTTTTTTCAAATAAGTAAACTGAGTCTTAGATTTAAAAAAATACAGAGGAGAGAACCAAGATAGCAGCATAGGTAAATGCCTATACTTGCTGCCTCTCACAACCACATCAAAATTACAACTAAAATACAGATAAACCACCATCCAAAACTGCCTGAAAGCTGGCTGGATGGAAGTCCTACAAGTAGAAAAGCAAAGAAGAAATCACACTGACAGGGGTAGCAGGCGCGGAGGCATGCAAGGATCTGGAAGTGCATTATGTATACTGCTTTTTCAATTGGGAGTGATATTGCCTCTGTGTAGGTCGCCCATGAGGAGCAAGAGGTTCCAGCCCCACATCAGATGCCCAGCACAGCGTTCCAGAGCTAGGAAAAGAAGTTCCTGTAACTGGCTGTAAAAACCAGTATAGATTGGGGTTCAGTGACATAGAGGCTACTGGAGACCCAGCTATTTCTCTTAAAAGGCCAGCGCAGGAACTGAACTTACCAGGTCCAACTTCCTCTGAGCTCTAGTACCAGGGTAAGGTTCTGGGGAACAGAGACACATAGGAAGAGAAACTGGAATGTCTGGCATCAGGGCAAAAACTCAGGAGCGGCTTTCTCCCAGATAGAGGTGCTTGCAGGATCATTGCTTCTGTGCTGGGACCTCACTGGTCTCAGGGCTTGCTGGCAGGCATTTCTATTTGCTCCCTCTTGGTGATTCCCTAAAACCCTGCCCCATCCAATTTGTAGCCCCACCCAACCTGTGTGAAGAGTTTTTTGCATATGAATGGCCTGTCCGGGCAAAATAAACTGCAACTGGATTAGGGAACTCAAATCTACCAATTTAAGGCCCAAGACCCAGCACCAGCACCAGCCTGTCTTCCTTCACAGCTGAGCCTCATCTGGGTACTTCCAAACCCAACACAAAGAGGAGAAATCTGCAGCTCTTTCTGTATCTCCTGCCAGGTAACTCCAGGCAGTGGCAGCCTTTGCAGCTCCCTGGAGACCCAAGAGCCAGTGTACATAGTGGTCAGTGTCAGACAATACCAGGGGCAGACTCAGTGTGCACCAAAGCCCCACAGAAACAAATCCTGGTTCATAGGCATGTCTCCTGCACAGCAGCTCTCCTACTGCAGTTGCAGCTGGACCCCATAGCAAATTGGCCTGGAGGTTCATTCCTCCCAGTGACACCAACAGCAATCAAGGTTCAACTACAAAAAGACTGTACTCACAGCCCACAAAGGGGTGCAATTAGAGCTCCCAGCTCAGGTGACTTGGGGAGGCTGAGCTACTGGGCCCTCTAGGACACCTATTACACAAAGCTACTCTAACAACTCAAGAAGACATAGTAGCTCTACCCAATACATAGAAATAAGCACAAGGAAGAGCTAAAATGCAGAGATAGGGAGGAATATCGCAAATAAAAGAAAAGGAAGAGAGTAGACTACTGGATATAGAATTCAAAACTATGGTTATAAGGTTACTCAAGAATCATCTAGAAACCTCCAAGGGACATAGTGAGACTTTCATCAATATTAGTGAGAATGCCAAAGCAATGGGGGAAAAAACAGTCAGAAATAAAGCATACACTGACTGAAATAAAGTATAATATTCAGGGATTGAACAGTAAAGTAGAGGATTCCAAGAATCAAATCAATGATTTGAAATACGATGAAGCAAAAAACACCCAATCAGAAGAAGAAGAAGAAAAAAAAAAGAATCCAAAACTATGAAGATAGTGTAAGGAGTCTCTGGGACAACTTCAAGCATACTAACATTTGCATTATGGGGTTGCCAGAAGGAAAGAGTGAGCAAGATGGTAAAAATCTATTTGAAGAAATGATGACAGAAAACTTCCCCTACTTGGTGAAAGAAGTAGACTTAGAAGTCCAGGAAGCATAAAGAGTTCCAAACAAAAGGAACCCAAAGAGGACCACACCAAGACACATCATCATTAAAATGCCAAGGACTAAAGACAAAGAGAGAATCTTAAAAGCAGCAAGAGAAAAACAGTTAGTTACGTACAAGGGAGTACCCATATGACTGTCAGTTGACTTCTCAACAGAAACTATGCAGGTCAGAAGGGAGTGGCAAGAAATATTCAAAGTGATGAATAGCAAGTACCTACAACCAGATTATTTAGAATTGAAGGTCAGATTAAGAGATTCACAGACAAGAAAAAGCTAAAGTTTATCACCATCAAACCAGCATTATATGAAATGCTAAAGGGTATTCTTTAAGAAGAGGAAGAATAAAGAGGAAAGATAAAAAATATGAACAAAAAAATGGCAACAAATACATATCTATCAGCAATTGCATCTAAAAATCAAAATAAATGAATAAGAAATATAATGTACAGAATAAACTGGTGAATAAAATAGAATCAGAGGCATGGAAATGGAACAGACTAAGGATTCTCAGAGAGAAGGGGGGAGGAGAAGTTTGTAAAAGAATAAACAAAGATCTTATATACCTATATGCCTTAACTATGGACACAGACAACAGGGTGGGGAAGGCCTGGGGCAGGGGAAGGCAACTGGGTGAAGGGTGACTGACATTGGGGGAAAAAAGAGGGACATCTGTAATAATCTCAACAATAAAGATGAAAGAAAAAATATTGAGAATCCTGTAGCTGTATCATTAAGTTCACACAGAGAATAAACTCTACTGTGATGACTCTGAAGTCAATGTCTTAATTAACTAATATGATAGGCTCCTTCTATTCTTAAAGATGGCTTCTTTCTTAGGACTTCAATCCTGTCCTGTAACAGGACAAAAACTATTCATTATATTAACAAGGAATACTTAAAACCTCTCTGGAAGAGAACAATATTTTATCATTTCTCTTTTCTCATTATATCATTCCAATAGTCAACCCATCTGAGTTCCTGCTGTGTTATTTCAAAAATGGCACGACTGCCACAATTCAATTGATGAGGTCTTTCTTGTTATAACACATGCATCAGTTATATTATGTACCGTATATTAGACTTAACTCTGACATATGCCTATATTAACTCTGAAGTATCTCTACAATCAGTAGTCTTTTGCATCCATCATGATTCAGTATCATCTGCAGCCAGTTATCTGACCCAGGCTAGTGGTTTTCAAACTTGAGCTTGCATCCAAATCTCATGTAGGGCCCCTTCAAAACACACAGATTACTGGACCTGACTCTCAGAGGTTTTGATTCAGTAGATGTGGGTTGCAGCTCTTAAAATTTGCATTTCTAACATGTTCCCAGATGCTGCTGCTGGTGGTTTGGAGACTACATTTTAAGAATGACTGGCCCATGCCACGTTTCAAAAAACTTTTTCTATAAATAATCAGGTAAATACTTTTGACTTTGTGGGCCAGGTAGTCTGTGTCACAAGTACTGAACTCTTCCTTTGTAGTGCAAAAGCAGCCATACACAATACCTAAGTAAATAGGAGATGGCTGTGTTTCAATAAGATGTTATTTATAGAAACAGGTATCAGGCTGGATTTATTCAATAGATCAGTTGATCAACCTCTGACCTAGACCAACTCAGTACAAGAGGACTGAAAAATTACTTTGTATATGTTAAATAGTAACTCTATAAGAATCAATATAGATTTAATTACAAAAATCCCTTCTAAATTTTTTTTATAAATCTGCAGAACTTACCAGATACTAAGTTGATTGTGATAAATTAGCATAAAGAAAAAACCCCAAGGCTTTCTCATGTACCCAATAAAAGATGCAAGACCCTATATCTTATAGCTTTTGTTTTAAGATACCGTGAGCTCAACCTTCATTTTGAAATTTTAGTTTTAATTAGATATTGTTTCTAGTGTTAAAGCTAAATCTACCAATTAAAAGAAAACTAACATTACATTGAATAATATAAATACCAACCGAATTAGGTTGTCCATTGACTTTATAATAAAACAGAACAAAGAAAAAACACTCAACTTGCCATGAATGTGCCCAGATTTAATGTACTTGGTCTTTACTTGGAACAGTGTACTTCAAACTACTTTAAAATGCCAGTATAATCTTAAAAGTCTACTAAACTGTACATGCCAATGAACCCACTGCATTAGCTCTAGACTTATAAAATGTAAGTTCCTGGAAAAGGACAAAATTGAGATAAATGTTATCTTAATGGAATATAATTTACTTCCAAGAAAATAATTATATTCAAATACATGAAGAAAGTTAATACTGCAGGTCATTTTAGAAACTTAAAATGCAAATAATATGTCAATCATTTCAAAAAATGCTAATGACTGGAAATATTTAAATTAAACCTCCCCTGACAAGTATATACACTAATATGCAATAATATGAAGAAAGAATAAAATGAGTTTATGATGAGATACAAAACTTCCATCTTCCAAAATATATTCCTAAATGGGATTAAATCCAACATTTTTCTCTGTTCAATGGGTTTACTAAAATATTTACTACTAGATATTTACTTTTTAGTCTAATCCAGTGGTTTTCATAGTCTTCAGGTTTGTTTGTTTTTTAAATGTTGAAAAAGCTTTGTGGTCAAAGGAAACTAGAGGATGTTAATTTTAAACTCATTTCAAAATGATTTTTAACTTTCAGACCCATGAGAATTATTAATATTCATGACATAACTATCTAAGAAAGATATGGTAGATTGTGCAGCCTTTTCCAGTGTCTTTGGAAACCCAATTATCAGTATAGCATCTTAACAATGTTTTTTTTAGGGTCTGAATCTGTGTACTCTATAATAATGTTTTAAAAATAAATTCAATTTGATGCAATAAATACCTATTAATTACCTCTATTTTTTTAAAAAATTATTTAAAGATTAACCTTTTTATTTTACAATGCTACTCATAAAAATCTATCTGTAATATAGTTTATCCTATTAAAATACTTACACTCCTCTTCAGGCCTCTTCCGAAGTGCTGCACGAACTTCTTTACAAGGACTTCTCTGATATTGTGGGGGATTCCTTCCCCTTAGTAGGCTCTCCATCCTATAAAAAAAGAATCAAAAGAGTATATTAATATAGAAATCTTCATAAATTTTGAGAAGGTAAATGGTTTAAATCAAGAGTCAAGATTTTAAGTATCTATAGAGGCTTGTTAGACAACATCGTTGAGTATGTAGCAAGGAATAATATAATAGGGAGAGGCAGAAACTGTGGTAAACTGACAAGTGTTTGACTTATCCAAGACATTGCAATTAAAAAAACAGTAAAAATACCATGTGGACACTCATATACTCATTCTCAGATTAGAGACTGATATAGACTGAATGTTTGTGCCCCCAATCCCAAATTGACATTAAACCCTTAAGACCCAATGTGATGGTATTGGGAGGTGGGACCATTGGAAGATAATTAAATTTAGATGGACATTCATGATGGAATTAGTGTCCTTAGAGGAACAGAAAGAGAGGCTAGAGATTGGCTTCTCTCTCTCTCTCTCTCCCTCCCTCCTTCCCTCCCTCCCTCCCTCTCTCATTAGAAGGTAGTCATCAGCAAATCAGGAAGAGGTCTCTCACCAGGAAATTAATCTGCTGGAACTTTGATTTCAGGTTTCTCAGATTCCAGAACTGTGAGAAATATATTTCTGTGGTGTAAGCTACCCAGTATGTGGCATTTTGTTATGGCAGCCCTGATGACTAAGACAGAGACCTATTGACTGGAGCGATTACTTGTAAAGAAAACAAATTTATCAAAAATAGCTCACCTTTAGAAAAAAGGACATATCTTTCACCAACAATTGGAATATCAGTTTCAAGAGAAGAATGGCTGATTTTCTTTCATGATAATGGTTAAATTGGGAGGGATTTTCTAATTCCAATAATTGTGACTTCTTGAAAAAGTGGGTTAATATGAAGTGTACTTCTCAGTTACAAGTGATATAGCAATGCTGCAATTCAGAATATAATAATAAATGCATCAAATTCATCTTGGATTAGCATTTTAAAAAATATATATTTTATTGATTTTTTACAGAGAGGAAGAGAGAGGGATAGAGAGTTAGAAACATCAATGAGAGAGAATCATAGATCAGCTGCCTCTTGCACACCCCCTACTGGGGAAGTGCCCCCAACCAAGGTACATACCCTTGACAGGAATCGAACCTGGGACCTTTCAGTCTGCAGGTCGAAGCTTTATCCAATGAGCCAAACTGGTTCCGGCTGGATTAGCATATTTAACAACATGTACTCTGTGATCATTATTTTCAGGTTTCAATAAACCATATAGTTTTGTACTACCGATGTAGACTCATTTTAATAAAAGTAAAAATCTACTGAGTGCTCAGGATTTGAAAATTCAGAACAAAACTATATTTATGTGTCATTTTAAAAATATAAGTATAGCTTTTTAACATCTACTTAATTATTCTAATGAAATATCACTGGTTTTGATAACTGTGCTGGTTGATAGCATGCATACATTTGAAAAGCACATACTTGTTATGGGTAATGATGATGGTGGATATTCTATGGTAGTGGTACAGATGATTGTACCAGAGAGGAAAATTAGGACAGGACAATCCCATAAAAGCATTATGTGAATAATGTAAAATATGAAATGAATAACCTTTTGTACTGTAATATAATACCATTTCCTTAGGAAACTGTCACTGGTTCTTAAAAACACTTTTTCAAATATACTTCCTGAAATCAGTCCATTTATATGTAGAAGATGTTATGTGTGTGTGTGTGTGTGTGTGTGTGTGTGTGTGTGTGTGTTCATATGTTCACTAGAGGCCCAGTGCATGAAATTCGTGCACGGGTGTGTGTGCCCTTCAGTCCAGCCTGCACCCCCTCCAATTTGGGATCCCTCGAGGGATGTCCGACTGACCGTTTAGGCCAGATCCCAACTGGGGCTTAAACGGGCAGTTGGACATCCCTCTCACAATCCAGGACTGGTGGCTCCCAACTGCATGCCTGCCTGTCTTCTTTATTGCCCTAACCACTTCTGCCTGCCAGCCTGATCACCCCCTATGCACTCCCCTGCCAGCCTGATTGATGCCTAACTGGTCCCCTGCCAGCCTATTTGCTCCTAACTGCCCTTCCTTGCAGGCCTGGTCACTCCTAACTACCCTCTCCTGCAGGCCTGGGTTCCCCCTAACTGCCCTCCCCTAAAGGCCTGGTTTCCCCCCAACTGCTCTTCCCTGCAGGCCTGTGTCCCCCCTTTATTGCCCTTTCCTGCAGGCCCAGTTGCTCTCAATTTCCCTCCTCTGCCAGCCTGGTCACCCCTAACTGCCCTCCCCTGCAGGCTTGATTGCCTCAACTGCCCTCCCTTGCAGGCCTCTCCCAATTGCCCTCCCCTTCTGGCCTTATCTCTCCCAACTGCCCTCCCCTGCTGGCCATCTTGTGGTGGCCATCTTGTGTCCACATGGGGCAGCCATCTTGTATGTTGGAGTGATAGTCAATTTGCATATTACTCTTTTATTAGATAGGATGCCTATGTATATGCAATTCAAGAAAATATTTTTCAATGTGCAATGTAACTTGAACCTTAGTTTCATGTGAAGCTCATTTCAAGTGAAAGAAAAAGTTATTTCTCTTGAGGTTATAATAATATAATAATGTGAAACCAAGTGAAAACATGAATTGTTTATTATATAATTTGCTTTAACACTATATATGGGGAGGAAATTAAGTTTCTAGGCCTGTCCCTGCAGTTTCACCAGGAGGCTTAACTATATAAACAATATTTCATAAACTTTCTAGTTTTGACTCTTGAATTAATTCAATGTACAAATAATGGATTTCCATGATTAGCCAATAACAACTTAAGTGAACTAATAATTATTCACTAGTATTTATAAGCTCGAGATCATAAAAGGCAGCAAAAATGACCTGCACATGCAAATGTCTACATACAATTGTGATGTAATTTTAGAAACCAATTTTACTCATCATGTCTACACTCTGATGAGGAATGGTAACTGTTATCCTGGTTGGAAATCTATGTAAACCACTCTCTTGAATAAGCTATTCTTTTTATATCTCTAACCATCAGTATGTGAAAACAAAAATGATCTAGTTAATGTCCATTTAACTATGTTTGAGGATTAAGTCATAATAAATGAAATATGTTATAAAGTACTAATAGGGCTTCAGAACAATTTCATCATGTGTGATATTGGCAGCAAAGATCCCCAACTCAACTCCCCAGATGTCCAAAGGTTGCTGTCTGGAAGCTCAAAAGCAGATCTACAGATATGCAAGTTAGATATGGAGCACAGCCTGAGTGGGCCTAGGTTCTGTAATAAGACAACCAGGTTTAAACTCTAATTCTGCCTTTAAAGAATGACTTCAGAAAAAATTTGTGCTGTGTGCCTTAATTTTCTCATAAGTAAATGGGGATAACAGCCACCTTCTAGGATTGTTGTGAAGACTAAAATATGTTAGTACCTGGCCCGGCTGGTGTGGCTCAGTGGTGGAGCATTGACCCATGCACCAAGAGGACTCCGATTTCCAGTCAAAGAACATGCCTGAGTCGTGTGCTCAGTACTCAGTACGGGTTGTGCAGGAGGTAGCAGCTTAATATGATACCCTCTCTCTTCAATGTCTCTATCTTTCTTTCCATCTTCTATTATCTCTCTCTCTAAAATCAATAAAAAAACATACTAAAATTTTAAATGGATAGTATGTTAGGAAACATGAAAACTTGGCTTTATTCAATAAAGAGTTATAATGAATAATCATTGAATCATAGAAATAATTCCACTAGGAGGCTGAATAATTGAAATTCTACTATGCAATGCATAATTTACTTATGATGAAGTTCTTATTAAATATAATATCTGTTAACATGTACTTATATAAATAGCATAGATATAAATATAGAAATAATACTACACAACTATATGTGTGTATGTTGATCTCTTAATTACATGTTGATTTTTGATTATTTAGCTATTTTCACTGAAATGTTTGCTTCTATTCACGACATTTTTGAGAATCACAAAAAAACAACAACCAAGGGCCAAAAAAACTCACTATAAATTATATCAATATGTACCACACATTAATAGAGAATAACATTTTAAAACAGTATTACATGTCCTTTTTCTCTGGATTGCTAAATGATATGCCCAGTAGAAAACACTTTGAATCAAATTAAAAGTTTTACAGAGCAATGTTTATGTCTAAACTACTATATAACTGTGGGACTTCCATCTTCTTGAGACTACACGTCTGGCTGCTTGAACCATTCTACTGGTGTCATCTATGATGTACAGTTTGCATTAAATGGTCAGACAAAATAACCAACAATCAAGTCTTGGCGCACAGCCAGGACACAGCAAAGGAGCTATTCTAGCTACTCTCAAGTTTGGCAAGACATCAGCAGGAGTGTGTTAACAGTTCCAGCAAGGAGAGATTAAGTGTGATGACCACAGGCAAAACAGATGCTCTAACAGCTCATTGAAGAGCTCTGAAAAGTGCAGCGTGTATGTCAACTGCTGGGAAGAAATAGAGGCAGCCAGAATGATATTTAAAAAAGTATAAAAAACCAAATAGATTATGAACAAAGGTTTCCACAACTCTCCTAAATTAAGTTAGTTCACAAAAAAAAAAAAAAAAAAAAAAAAAAATCACTGGAGGGGCTTTAACAAACACAGATCCACCATTTCCAAAACTAAAGATTTTCGTTCAGGAGTCTGGGATCAGGTCAAGGCAGATGTATTTTTTAACATTATCCAAGTGTGTCTACTATAGTCTTATATAATATTTACATTTGGAACCCATGTAAATAAAATATATACACTTGCAGATGTAGGAGAGAAAAGTTCAATAAATACATTACAAGAGATAGTCATATGCTGATACAGAGATAAGTAGAGAATCTGGGTTGGAGACTGCAGTTAGAACAGGTATTATAAAAAATGAAGAGTAGCCAGAAGAATGGTATAGTTAAAGGCTTTCCAAGTTGCCTGGAGCTCAACCAAATGAACCTAAAGGCTGCCCATTTAGAAGGTTGATAATCTCAACAGTGAAATACTTTCC